ATCCAACTTTGTTTTCATCTCCTCGCATTTTTTCCCATCCAAAAACAAAAAGCGAGCTACCGAACGATACTGCTCTTTTTCCATCTTAGCGAAAATAACGAAACACGTCTCAGTCGAATGGCTGCCAAATCCAAACTAACCTATCAATCAGTCTTAAATTCGTTTTTGGCGTGGTTTGATAGATGGCAGCACACGATGACAACACCAATTTCCCTCCGAAACATCCTGTGTCTTCAAACACAGGTACTTATTGAACCGCCCTCGTACAATTACAGAAATATTCATTGTTAACTACTGCTTTGGTATTATTACAAGTATGATTAAATTTTGCCTGATTTAGTAGAAAAGACCAGCACTTTAACATAAGGGCACACGGAGCACGTGCCAAGGGCATTATTAATTTAATTATTAATTATTTGTTTATATTACTCTTTTTTTCCGAATGCAGAATGCACCCTAATTAATTACAATACAACACATCCATCCTGATCCTAATCCTGATCCTGGTACGCACTGTGATGAAATTTTAACGAAAGAAGTACGCGATATTTGGATTCGAAAAGGGCCAGAATTTTTTCAAAATAAAAATTAAACATTTGACTAAAAATATTTTCACCCGTAAATTGACCATAGTCTGTAGAAATAAAAAGGCTTCTTTATTCACTGTCAAAGAAATTTGTGTACTGTTATTCCTGTCGTCTATGTAGTACGAGTGCTGGTACTGGACATAGTTTGAGTTCTCCAAATGGATATAAAGACTGGAAACATATTAGTAACTTATTAACGGAGCATGAGAACAGTTTACAGAACAGGCAATTTACGATCAATTATGTTGCAAGAAGCAAATATACTGGACGAGTTCACAGTGAGTTATTGTCTCAATATAACGCAGTCAAAGTCAATTATTGGAAAAATGTACTTAGAACAATTGTTTCAGTAGTGAAACTTTTGGCTTCAAGAGGTCTTGCTTGGTGATAGTACCCCCTTAAAATATCGTAATTAATTCGGTGAACACTGATAAAGTATATTTGATTTAATTAAAAGATCATAATGGACAAATATTTATATCATTCGGTTTACTTTACTATCCAAAAGGGTCCCAAATTCTTGTGTGCCCAAGGGGCATCGTCTAAGACGGCCCTGAAAAAGACTACATGGGTGCTTAAGTTAGTAAGACCATATAGTAATTCTTTAAGTATCTATGGTTCTAGCGCAAGTACGTTTCTAAAGGAAATGGATACAGATGAAATAGCTGATAGGATATCTTAGAATTAACTGTTTTATAATCATTAGGGGTTTAATATAGTTACGGTGTGAAGAACCCTTGATCCATTGTATCAGAAGCTTTGCATCTTGGGCTTAAGTTAAATCCCTTATTAACTTCTGTGTACTTTGTCCTATGGTTAAGTTAAGCCATGTTGAAAAGGAACTCCCTGATTAGCTTATTGCATTAAGTACCATACAGTATGGGTATGTAAAGTATCACGCCCTACGGTATGGTTATAGTGCGATAGCTATCTCTAACTGACTATGCAACAGGGATAACTGCTGTGCACCCAAGAGCTTAGGTTAGGTTACGATGTGGAGGATACCGATGATCAAAATGTAAGCGGTTACCCTTGACAACCGTAATCATCCGTTAAAATTTGAATGGGTTCAACGATATAAAACCACTTGCTATGTCTTGGATATTAGAACAAATTACAGTCCGGGTATTTATCTTCAATTTTGGTTGGTAATTCTATGTATATGTTAGGCCCGAAGACCGAAAACGCTCAGTGGCCGGAAAAAACGGCCACATCGCGTTCTGGCTGCCTTCGAACGCACAGAACGCGTTTTGGCTGTTTTTAAATGCTCGCAACGCGTTCTGGTAACTGTTATACAGCCGGAACGCTCACAACGCGTTCTTAAAGTTCGACTTGTATTATTTGCCGCTTTCTACCTGCGTACAATGAGATTTATATTGTACTTACAAAACAAATGAATTTCAATTCATTTTTCAGTTTTTAGGAAACAATTCAATTATTGAAAACTATAATTGGATACGAAAGATGGGTTCGGTTTTTCTCGCCGAATCATTTCAACAATATTAAATTTCTTATAATTGTTTTTCAGTTCTAGGAAGAAAGTTACAAAGCGCTTAAAAACAGCCAAAACGCGTTCTGTACGTTCGAAGGCAGCCAGAACGCGATGTGGCCGTTTTTTCCGGCCACTAAGCGTTTTCGGTCTT